TCTGTAACAAGACTATAAACTGTCATAACAACATAGAGGAGGGAATAATACATTTTATTTAGAATATCAAAAAAGGCCCCCAATGCAAATTTACTTTTAAAGTATCAGTTCATTGGGTAGGGAATATTATAGGAAAAGAGAATCCCAGTCTCAGAGATTGGTTCAGTGCATCAGGAGCAGAAGGTTTGAGGACACAGCTTCAGGAGGCAGCTGACAGGAAGGCAGGGCCAGATTTAGAAGGATCTTAAAACCTGTGCTGAAGTATTTGGACTTCATCTGTGCGATAGTGGGAACCATGGAATGTTTCTCAGCAAGAAAGTAACATGTTGGAATCATTTTCACAACAGTAACTCAGAGAAACAGAATGAATTATAAAAACAATAACAACAAAAAAAAAAAACAGAAAAAAAACATGGGTTGTGAGTGGTCTATGTTCAAATCCCAGCTATGTCACTCAGCATCTACATTACCTTGTACAAGCTATTTAACCTCTGTTGCTTCAATTGCCTTATCTTTGAATAGTAACGGAAACCAATATTTTAAGTTGTTGCAGGAATTTAATGAGTTAGCCCACCTAAAGCCCTTTGAACCGAATCTGGCACAAAGTAGGTTCTCAATAAGTATTCACTATTTTAAGAATATAAAGTAATTCAAGTATATTGAAAGGAATCAGAAACCTGTTGGGAGGCCCCTGTACTTCTCTAGACAAGAGCTGATAAGGGCTTGAATGAAAGCAACAACACAGGGAAAGAGGGAGGAAGAAACAGAATCTGGGAATGGTTCAGGAAATGGGTCTTACTCACTTCTCAGATGTCATATTTCTCGAGTCCTACTTTGTTTCACCAAGCCCTACAAATGCAGGACACTAGCCTGCATTTTGTCCTTTACATATGCCAAGAACATTCCCACCACAGTACCTTTACACCTGCTGTTCCTTCGGCTCCCCTAAATTAGTGGTGTCCAATCTTTTGACTTCCCTGGGCCATAATGGAAGAAGAATTCTCTTGGGCCACTTGTAAAATACGTTAACTCCGATAATAGCTGATGAGCTAAAAAAAGAAAAATCACAAAAATGTCCCATAATGTTTCAAGAAAGTTTACGAATTAATGTTGGGCCACATTCAAAGCTATCCTGGCTGCCTGTGACCCACAGGCCATGGATTGGACAAGCTTGCCCTAGATCTTCCTTCTCTCAATGCCAACTGCAATTCTGCAATTCTGCCTTAATGAAGAGGCCTTTCCTGACCACCCTAAACAAAGCAGCACATCTGTCACTTCACAGCCTTAGTATGTGAATTGCTTTTTTTTTTTTTGAGATGGAGTGGCACCGTGTCACCAGGCTGGAGTGCAGTGGTGCAATCTCGGCTCACTGCAACCTCTGCCTCCCAGATTAAAGCGGTTCTCCTGCCTCAGCCTCCTAAGTAGCTGGGACTATAGGTGTGTGCCACCATGCCCAGCTAATTTTTGCATTTTTAATAGAGGCAGGGTTTCACCATGTTGGCCAGGATGGTTTCCATCTCCTGACCTTGTGATCCACCGGCCACAGCCTCCAAAGTGCTGGAATTACAGGCATGAGCCATTGTGCCCAGCCGTGAATTGCTTTTTTATTGGCTTATTAAGTTGCCTAGGTCTTTAGTACTTACCTGCTTACCGATTTTCTTAATTACTTATTCTTCACTGTTTCCCATCTTTCATCAAAATATAGGCTCCTAAAGCCAGGAACTCTGCCTTACCACAAAATTTCTAGTCCCTAGAACAGTACCCACCTACATAGGGTGACCACTTAGTGAATAATTTTTGGTGGGTTTACTCATTGGCTTGGGCATAGGTAATAATAGAATGACTTGGACCAGATCTAATGTATCCTGAATCCTCTTCTAGCTCTCTCCTCACTAATGATACCAGTCTTCAAATATCTGACAGGCTGCCATAGGAAAGATAGTATGTATTTAGTCTGTCCTTCTCCAAAGAGGTTAGCTAAAACTAAGTAGAAACTACAGAAAGACAAATTTCTGCTCAACAGAAAAAAACGTTTTCCGGTAACATGAGTTGTGCAGCATTGAAGGAGGTTGCCTTGAAATTCTGTGCTTGATACATACATGAGGTCCACAGAGAGAGTAGATAATATATCTCTAGCATTTGGCATTTCTTGATTGGAGAGGAAATTAGCCTAGATGACCTCTAAGGTCTCCATGTGTAACATCTAAATAAATGCACAGCCAGTAAGGGAATAATGAGTACAGCAAGTGTATATTAAATATAAAGTAGATCCTCAGCTTTATTCAGTTAGATTATTTCTTGGATTTGATTGTTTGCATTATTAAAGAAAATACAAAAGAAACTTTCTGATTTTTGTGATGCATACAGCAATGAAAGAACCTCCTGAATGTAATCAGAGAAATAACTAATCACCACCTTGACATGAACACTAGGTGTTCTTCATGCTAGGCAGTTTTCTAACAGAGACAAATCTGTCACCTGTGATGATTCAATTTATTCACTCAATAACTATTCCTTTAGGGCCTACTATATCCCAAACATTATGGTAATTAAAGAAAAGATGGTATGAGAGGACTTCAAAAAGCTTGTGAAAATTAAATTAAAAGTTAAAAATTTTTAAAAAACCTTATTTCTCAATGTGAGCTTCAGCTTTAAGACACCTTTCTAGGAGATAATACCAACAATGTGGTCCATCCTTAAGGAAATGAGGACCCTGATAATTGACCCATGCCAATGCAGTCTTTTTTATATTGCTTATTAAATAAAAATAAGTACCCTTTATAGATATCTTAAGAATAGGAAACAAAAAGATAGATGGAGCCAAATCAAGAATATAAGTTGGATTGTATTAGTTCATTTTCACAATGCTATAAAGAAATACCCAAGACTGGGTCATTTATAAAAGAAAGAGATTTAATTGACTCACAATTCCGCATGACTGGGGAGGCATCAGGAAACTTAACAATCATGGCAGAATGTTTAAGCAGGCACATATTACATGGAGGCAAGTGAGAGAGAGAAAGAGAGAGTATGTGTGTGAATAAGGAACTGTCAAATACTTATCATCACGTCTCATGAGAACTAACTCACTATCATGAGAAGAGCAGGGGGAAATCCACCTTCACGATCCAATCACTCCCACTAGGTCCCTCCCTTGACACATGGAAATTATGGGGATTACAATTTGAGATGAGATTTGGGTGGAGACACAGATCTGAACCATATCATGGATGCCTAATGATTTCCCATCAAGAGTTTTACAAAATTGCCCTTGTTTGATGAGGGGACTGAGCAGGAGAATTGTGGTGGAGAAGAACTCTCTGGTGAAGCTTCTCAGCTGTTTTTCAGCTAAAGCTTTAGCAAACTTTCTCAAAATACTCTTATAATAAGCAGATGTTATTTTTCTTTGGCCCTTCAGAAAGTTAACAAACAAAATGCCTGGAGCATCCAAAAAAAAATTGTCACTGTGACCTTTCCTCTTGACCCAGTCTGCTTTTGCTTTGGCTGGACTACTTCCACCTCTTGGTAGCCATTGCTTTGATTGTGCTTTGTCTTCAGGATCACACTGATAAAGCCACATGTCATTTCCTATTACAGATCCTTTGAAGAAATGTTTTTGAATCTTGGTCTCACTTTTTAACAATTTCTATTGAAAGCTTTGCTCTTGCCTGCCACAAATCTGGGCACAATGGTTTTGGCATCCATCGAATGGACTGTTGTCTCCACTTTAATTTTAGTTAGAGTTGTGTAAGCTGAACCAATTGAAATGTCTGTGGTGTTGGCTATTGTTCTGCTGTTAATCATTGATCCTCTTCAGTGAGGGCACAAATTGTTATTATTATTTTTTTTTGTTTTTGGAAATTAATGTGGAGTGGTCTACTGCCACAGGCTTCATTTTCAACATTGTCTTGTCCCTTCTTAAGATCAGTTATTCATTTGTAAACTGATAATTTCTTTGGAACATTGTCACCATAAACTTTTTGTAAAGCATCAATGATTTCATCATTCTTCCTTCCAAGCTTTGCTAACAATTTGATGTTTGTTCTTGTTTCAATTTTTGCAGAATTCAAGTTGCACAGATAGGGGCTCTTTTCAAACTGATGTCTCATCTTTCTCAGTGTCTCAAACTACATCCTATTGAGATATGTTCAGACATGTTATTAAAAACTATGCATAAATTTTGAATTTTTTGAAATTTTGAATTTCAAAATTCACACATAGTTTTTTCATACTATGCATTTGTTAGAAACTTTTTGAAGACTCTGCTTATAATGGTGAACATGACAATCATAGATTCTGGCTTTATGGGACTGCCATTGTAGCAGTGAGTGCAGACAAATAAATGATGTTACAATTAATGTCATCAGTGTTATAACAGGAGAAGTACAGAATACTAAGGAAGAACCTCAGAACCTCCATGGTTAACCTTGAAGACTTGTTGGATCTGGGAAGGATTTCTGGAATAAATAAATTTTTTCTTTTTAAGATGGAACTTTGCTCTTGTTGCTCAGGCTGCAGTGCAATGGCATAATCTCGGCTCACTACAACCTCCGCCTCCCAGGTTCAAGCAATTCTCCCACCTCAGCCTCCTGAGTAGCTGGGATTACAGGCACACATTACCACACCCAGCTAATTTTTTGTACTTTTAGTAGAGATGGGCTTTCACCATGTTGTCAAGGCTGGTCTCAAACTCCTGACCTTAGGTGATTCACCTGCCTCAGCCTCCCAAAGTGCTGGGATTACAGGCATGAGCCACTGCACCTGGCCCCTCAATTTCTGGAATAAATGATATCTGGGCTGAGACATGAATAATTATTTGGAATGTGAATTTGCTGGAGTTGGGGGCATGGGAGAGAAGAGGAGCAAAAAGTCTCACAGGGAATGCTTTAGGTAGCTGCAGTTTCATCTTGACTTCCTTGCTTGGGACTGTTCTTTTGACTCTATCATTCAGAAGAACTTTCATTTTGAAATAACAATTTCTACACTTTACCATTTAACAGGAAATGGCCTTGTTTTTGGTACCTTACTGGGAACTAATAGAAAATTCCTATATAAACAGCATCAAAACAGCACTTAGGTATCTGAGGGAAGACCAGCATACTGTGCTTTCTAACTTATATGAAATTAGGTAAGTAAACTTTCCAAAGTCAGAATTTTACAGTTTAGAGGCATGCCATATAAAATTAATCTCATTCTCCTTATGTCTACAGAACAAGTTTCCAGGAGTTTCTAACACGTCCAGATTACAAGCAAGATTTTGTAGCTCAATGGCAGGCTGATTTCAACTCCCTTCCTGATGACCTGTGGGATGATGAGGAAACAAAGGCTGAGCTACACCAACGAGTGAATGTAAGGAAATTGTGACCTGTTGGGACAGGGCTAGCACACTTTTGTATCTTGTCCTGCAAAACCCCAACTCATTTGCTCCTTACTTTTGTGAGGTACAAGGATGAGAAAGAAAATGGTTTGAACTATTGAACAGATAACTTTCAAGATCCATGGATCTTCCACACTTTGAGTTTAGAATGAGAATACCATGGCAATACTTCTAGAAAGAGGGGCCAAAATCCACAGTGCAAGAGCATTCTTGGCATCTGTCCTGCAAATGTCTAACCCCTTTGTGAGTCTATGTAACTGTGTCTATGCCTGGTGTTAACCACATTCCTGTCTTGAGCACAGTTGTACATTTGGTTGATAGCAAGGAGAAAGGGAATAAGGGAACAACATGGAAAACCTAGAATTACCTCTATTGAATAGATCTCTTAAGGGCCGGTACTAAATTTTACACATTATCTCCAGCAAGCGCAGTTCCTGGTGGTGCTCCAGGAAGCATAATGACATGCAGATTTTCATAAACTCCTGAATGATTATCCTGATGCTTTAGAAAGGGGCCTTTAATGTACAAAAAGCCTCAATTCATTCTCTTACCCTTCCTCTTTCATTTTAAATGGACAGATCCCCCTATCCCATCAGAGGGATACCTTTCCACTACCTTAAGTATAGGTTACTAACAGTCAAAACTGATTTTTACCTAAATATTGATTTATGTAACTAAAATATTGCTGATCTCAAACTCATGCCCCATTCATTTGCTTAATAAATACTTATTGAGCATCTATTATGGTCCTCGCACTATTCAAGAGACTAGGGATTCAGCAGTGAACAAAATAAATCTGTGACCGCCGGGTGTTTATATCCTTGTGCCCAGGTGTTACAGAATAGGCAATAAACAAATAAACATACAGTGAGTATGTCCTTAGTAATAAGAGCTATGCCGTGAACAAGAAAGCAGGGCAAGGGGAAAAGAACATTGGAGGTACCGTTTTGTAAATGGTGGCTGTGGAAAATCTCACTGAGAAGGTGACATTTGAACAGACTGAGGATAGAAGTGATTGGGTGAGCCATGTAAATATTTAGAGAAAGGGTGTATGAGGCACAGGTGAAGCAAGGGCAGTTACACTGAAGGGAAAGGATATTTGCTGTGTTTGAAGAACAGCAAGGCGGCTCGTGTGTCTGGAGCAGAGTGAACTGGGCCACAGTTGGCTGATGATAGAGTCAGAGAGATTGTAGGTAACCAGGTTACCTAAGGCCTTGGAGGTTATTATGAGAATATTGCTATTGATCTGAGTGGGATGGGAAGCCTTGATATCTGGTTTTAAACAGTCTACAGTAGAGTAAAAACAGAAGGAAGGCAAGTTGGAAGACCAGATGGGAAGCTTTTGCAATAGAGGCAAGACAGCATTGTGGCTCAGGAGATAGGGTGGGTGCTAAAGGGTTTAACCCAATAGGTATTCAAATGTCCAAGTAAAATTAAAGTGTTTTGCCTATTCTTTGACATTCCTCAAACAGTAATTAATATCTATATAAGCCCTTTAACGTTTTTTCTGTTTTCTTTTTCCCTACCTATTCATAAAGCCAGCCTTCCTGTATACTAATTTCCCCTTGTTAGTCAGGTGGTTGTTGGCAGAGAATGAGAAGATTTGGGATTTTTTTTCTCTAATTCCAAATGCAACATATGTTTGTTGTAGATAAACTAGATAATAAGAAGCAAAATTTAAAATGACAAATCCCTAATAGTAAAAGGTGGCTGCTACCTTGGCGCACATCTGCATTTCTTTCCAGATTGTTTTTACAAAAACTTGATAGCAAAGTATGTATTGTTTTATAACATTGTTTTTTATTCATAGAACATGTTTTCTTTTTTAATAAACATTCATCTACAACATCGTTTTTATTACTAAAAGATATGACTAGTGGACTATATCATTTATTATACAGATTTCCATGTTTAGTCACCATGTTATTAACAAAGTTTCTTGAGCATCAATGTTTTATTACAGGGAATTTTATAGTAAAATTTCATCTAGCTAACTATTGACCAAACCCTTAATTATTTCCATGGGCAAACATATATATGTATGTATGTGTATGTGTGTGTGTATATATATATATATATATATATATATATAATTGCACTTTAGGTTCTGGGGTACATGTGCAGAACATGCAGGATTGTTGCATAGATACATATGTGACAATGTGGTTTGCTGCCTCCATCCCCCCATCACCTACATCTGACATTTCTCCCCATGGTATCCCTCCCTAACCTCCCTACCCCCAGCTGTCCCTCTCCTATTCCCCCCCACAGACCCCAGTGTGTGATGCTCCCCTCCCTGTGTCCATGTGTTCTCATTGTTCAACACCTGCCTATGAGTGAGAACATGTGGTGTTTGATTTTTTGTTCTTGTGTCAGTTTGCTGAGAATGGTGTTTTCCAGATTCATCCATGTCCCTACATCATTTTTTATAGCTGCATAGTATTCCATGGTATATATGTGCCACACTTTCCATGTCCAGTCTATCATCGATGGGCATTTGGGTTGGTTCCAGGTCTGTGCTATTGAAACAGTGCCACAATGAACACACGTGTGCATGTGTCTTTATAACAGACGATTTATAATCCTTTAGCTATATACCCAATAATGGGATTGATAGGTCAAATGGATTTTCTATTTCTAGGTCCTTTAGGAATCGCCACACTGCCTTCCACAACATTTGAACTAATTTACACTCCCAACAGCAGTGTAGAAGTGTTCCTATTTCTCCAGATCCTCTCCAGCATCTGATGTCTCCAGATTTTTTAATGATCGCCATTCTAACTGGAGTGAGATGGTATCTCAAGGTGGTTTTGATTTGCATTTCTCTAATGACCAGTGATGATGAGCATTTTTTCATATGTTTTTTGGCCTCATAAATGTCTTCTTTTGAAAAGTGTCTGTTCATTTCCTTTGCCCACTTTTGAATGGAGTTGTTTGTTTTTTTCTTGTAAATCTGTTTTACTTATTTGTAGATTCTGGATATTAGCCCTTTGTCAGATGGGTAGATTGCAAAAAATTTTGCCCATTCTGTTGGTTGCCGGTTCACTCTAGTGATTGTTTCTTTTGCTATACAGAAGCTCTGGAGTTTAATTAGATCCCATTTGTCAATTTTGGCTTTTGTTGCCAATGATTTTGGTGTTTTGATCATGAAGTCCTTGCCTATGCCTCTGTCCTGAATGGTTTTGCCTAGGTTTTCTTCTAGGATTTTTATGGTGTTAGGTCTTATGTTGAAGTCTTTAATCCATCTGGAGTTAATTTTAGTGTAAGGTGTCAGGAAGCGGTCCAGGTCCTGCTTTCTGCCATGGCTAGCCAGTTTTCTCAATACCATTTATTAAGCAGGGAATCTTTTCCCATTGCTTTTTTTTTTGTCAGGTTTGTCAAAGAGCAGACAGTTGTAAATGTGTGGTGTTGCCTCCAAGGCGTCTGTTCTGTTCCATTGGTCTATGTCTCTGTTTTGGTACCAGTACCATACTGCTTTGATTACTGTAGCCTTGTAGTATAGTTTGAAGTCAAGTAGCATGATGCCTCCAGCTTTGTTCTTTTTGCTTAGGATTATCTTGGCTATGCAGGCTCTCTTTTGGTTCCTTGTGAAGTTTAAGGTGGTTTTTTTCCAGTTCTGTGAAGAGGGTCATAGGTATCTTGATGAGGATAGCACTGAATCTATAAATTACCTTGGTCAGTATGGCCATTTTTACAATATTGATTCTTCCTAACCATGAGCATGGAATCATTTCCATCTGTTTGTGTCCTCTCTTATTTCCTTGAGCAGTGGTTTGTAGTTCTCCTTTAAGAGGTCCTTTACATTCTTTGTTAGTTGTATTCCTAGGTATTTTTTTCTCTTTGTAGCAATTGTGATGGCAGTCCTTTCTTGATTTGGCTCTCTTTAAGTCTGTTATTGGTGTGTAAGAATGCTTGTGATTTCCGCACATTGATTTTGTATCCTGAGACTTTGCCGAAGTTGCTTATCAGTTTCAGGAGATTTTCGGCTGAGATTATGGGGTCTTGTAAATATACAATCACGTTGTCTGCAAATAGAGACAACTTGACCTCCTCCTTTCCTAACTGAATACCCTTTATTTATTTTTCTTGCCTGATTGCTTTGGCTAGAATTTCCAATACTATACTGAATAGGAGTGGTGAGAGAGGACATCCTTGTCTAGTGCCAGATTTCAAAGGGAATACTTCCAGTTTTTACCCATTCAGTATGTTTTTAGCTTTGGGTTTGTCATAAATAGGTTTTATTATTTTGAGATACATTCTGTCAATACCTATTTTATTGAGACTTTTTAGCGTAAAGGGCTGTTAAATTTTGTCAAAGGCCTTCTCTGCATCTATTGAGATAATCGTGTGGTTTTTGTCTTTGATTCTGTTTATGTGGTGGATTATGTTTATAGACTCGTGTATCTTGAACCAGCCTTGCTTCCCAGGATGAAGCCTACTTGATTGTGAAGGATAAGCTTTTTGATGTGCTGTTGCAAGGGTTTGCCAGTATTTTATTGAAGATTTTTGCATCTATGTTCATCATGGATATTGGCCTGACATTTTCTTTTTTTGTTGAGTCTCTGCTGGGTTTTGGAATTAGGATGATGTTGGTCTCATAAAATGATTTGGGAAGGATTCCCTCTTTTCGGATTGTTTGGAATAGTTTCAGAAGGAGTGGTACCAGCTCATCTTTGTATGTCTGGTAGAATTCGGCTGTGAACCCATCTGGACCTGGGCATTTTTTCATTCATTCCAATCCTATGAAGTTAATGGAGAGTTGCTGCTATTGCATTGTTCTCATTTTGTCCATTATAAAACTGAGCCACAACCATGATGTTACTTGCAAAGATTTCACAATGAGTCTATGGGAGAAAGAACTAGAGTCAAGGTCTCCAGAGCCCTGTTTTTGTGCTTTTTCCTCTGCTGTGTTCTCTCTTTTCTTTAAAAAATATATATAAAGAGGAGAATTGCATGGACTCAGGAGGTAGAGGCTACAGTGAGTCAAGATCACGCCACTGGACTCCATCCAGAGCAACAGGGTGAGACTCTGTCAAAAAAAGAGAAAAAGACAGACTGGACCATCATCGCATTCGGGAGGCAGGACTAGATTGCAGCTCTGGACAGAGTAGCATGTGGAGGCTCGCATTGTGAATTTTAGCTCAAAATTGACTGCAACAACAAACCAGCAATCCCAAGAGGACCCACAGACCCTCTGAAGGAGGTGGACTGCTCCTGCAGGACCCAGAAGGCACCCCAAATACTATGAGTGCCCCAACAGCAGAAATGGGAAAGGGAGTCCCTCCTCTCTCGAACACACACCCCCACTGGAGAAACTGAAAGTCTGTTTGCAGAAGAAGTTTCTGACCTTATCTGGACCTCTGCAATTAGAGAGCTGAGTGAAATACGGGGGTAGAGGAAGCAGCAGAAAGGGTCTGAGAGCTCACTGGGTCCCCAAGCAGCCCATTTCTACCTGGCATCACAGGGATCCATCAGAAGGGTGGCCAGAGGAGCTGTGGGTAAAACTCCACAGGGAGAAGAAAATCTCTAGCTAGGCTTTGTAAGAGTTTGAACTGAGCAAGAAGCCTCCTGGCCAGAATGCGGGGGAGGGTGCAAATCCGGTGTGCAGACTCCACAAATGAGGGAAGAACCAAGCCCTTTTCTTTCACAGCTGAGAGGCAGGTAGCCTGGAACAAGTTCTCAAGCCCATCTTGCCCACTGCCTGGAAACAGACTTGGGGTTGTTGGTGGAGGCCCAGCAGGGTGAGATCAAGCCTTCAGTTTGCATGGGAGCTGCATGAGGCTGTGACTGCTGGCTTTCCCCCACTTCCCTGATGACCTGCATGACTCCTCCTAGATACATAACTCCAGTGACATGGGAATCTCACCCCTATCTCCCATAGCAATTGCAGCAAAACCCACCCAAGGAGAGTTTGAGCTCAAACACACCTAGCCTGGCCCCCACCTGATGGTCCTTCCCTACCCACCCTGGTAGAGGAAGACAAAGGGCATATAATCTTGGGAAATGCAAATCAAAACCACAATATGATACTACCTTACTCCTGCAAGAATGGCCATAATAAAAAAAATCAGAAAATAGTAGATGTTGGCGAGGATGTGGTGATCAGGGTACATTTCTATGCTGCTGGTGGGAATGTAAACTAGTACAGACACTATGGAAAACAGTGTGGCAATTCCTTAAAGAACTAAAAGTAGAAATACCATTAGATCCTGCAATCCTGCTGTTAGGTATCTACCCAGAGGAAAATTAGTCATTATCTGAAAAAGATACTTGCACATATATGTTTATAGCAGCACAATTCACAATTGCAAAATCATGGAACCAACCCAAACAGCCATCAATCAATGAGTGGATAAAGAAACTATGGTGTATATATACATATATGTATGTATATATATACACACACACATACACACACATATATATATGTGGTACGTATATATATGGTATATATATAACATATTTATTCCATCTTATCTATATATGTATATACACACATATATATATACACATATGTGTGTGTGTGTATAGGTATATGTGTATATATATAGATATGATGGAATACTACTCAGCCATAAAAAGGAATGAATCCACAGTATTTGCAGTGAGCTGGATGAGATTGGAGACTATTAATCTAAGTGAAGTAACTCAGGAATGGAAAATCAAATATTGTATGTTTTCACTGATATATGGGAGCTAAGCTATGAGGATGCAAAGCCATAAGAATGATACAGTGGACTATGGGGACTTGGGGGAAGAGTGGGAAGGGGGCAAGTGATAAAAGACTGCAAATATGGTGCAATGTATACTGCTTGGGTGATGGGTACACCAAAAATTTCACAAATCACCACTAAAGAACTTATTCATGTAACCAAATACCACCTGAACTCAAATAACTTATGAAAAAAAAATTTTAAATTAATTAAAAAGTATATAAATATTTGATAGGCACAAGTTAGTACTTATTGAATGCCTGACAGAGCGTTTGTGGAAACCCCATGAAGATATCAAGATCAGCTCTAAAATAATAGTGTATTGTTCTGATACTTAGCATATTGCAATAAAAATGGCTTGTGAAATTTTCATTTCATGTGCAGCCTCCACAAGGTAACAAACCAAAATGCAAATGTAAGAGTTCAAAAACAAAGTATTCCATAAACACAGTGTCACAGAATTGAAATTCACTGTTGGCATCAAATTGCTTGCATTCAAATTTCTGACTCTACCACATGGAAACTATAGGCAAGGAACTTAACCTCTCTGTGTCTCAATGGTCTTATCAGAAACCTACCTACTGTGAGGATTAGGAGGCAATCAATGTAATGCAGTAGTCCCCAACCTTTTTGGCACCAGGAACCAGTTTCGTGGAAGACAGTTTTTCCACAGATATTGGCGAGGGGCATGGTTTTGAGATGAAACTGTTCCAGTTCATTTCATGAGGCATTGGATTCTCATAAGGAACACGCAATCTACATCTCTCATATTCGTAGTTTACAGTAGGATTCGGGCTCCTATGAGAATCTAATGTCGCTGCTGATCTGATAGGAGGTGGAGCTCAAGGGGTAATGCTCACTTGCACGCCACTCACCTCCTGCTGTGTGCCCCAGTTCCTAACAAGCCATCAACAGGTACCAGCTCGCAGCCCAGGGGTTGGGGACCCCTCCTGTAATGCATTTAACATGATTCTCAACACATAATAAATGTTCAGTGAATTATTATTTTTTGAGACGGAGTTTCACTCTTGTTGACCAGGCTGGAGTGCAGTGCGGGATCTCGGCTCACCACAACCTCCACCTCTCAGGTTCAAGAGATTCTCCTGTCTCAGCATTCCAAGTAGCTGGGATTACAGGCATGCGCCAACATGCCCAGCTAATTTTTTGTATTTTTAGTAGAGACAGGATTTCTCCATGTTGATCAGGCTGGTCTCAACTCCCAATCTCAGGTGATTCACCTGCCTTGGGCTCCCAAAGTGCTGGGATTACAGGTGTGAGCCATCGCACTGAGTGAATTATTATTAATTTTTTTTGAGACAGGGTATCACTCTGTCACCCAGGCTGGGGTGCAGTGGTACTATCATGGCTCATTGCAGCCTTGAACCCTTGAGCTCAAGAATCTTCCCATCTCAGACTCCTGAGTAGCCAGTACTACAGATATGTGCCACTATGCCTGGCTAAGTTTTTATTTTTTAATTTTTTGTAGAGATGGTGGTTTTGCCATTTTGACCAGGCTGGTCTTGAACTCCTGGCCTCAAGTGACCCTCCTGCCTCAGCATCCCAAAGTGTTGGGATTACAGGCATGAGCCACCGCTCCTGGACTCAATTAATTGTTATTATTGCAAAAACTGTCAATTTTTATTGAACTGTATATGTTTCATTAATGGGATATTTTATTAAACAATGAATATTTTATTGCTATGAATAATATTATAAAAATAGTTTTTATTAATTGAGAAATTATTGCATGTGCTTTTTTTCCATCTAATTTTTTTCTATATAACATATCCAAAAGGTAAGTAGTATGATGCCCATTTTACAGATTAAGTAACTGAGGCCTAATATAGTAGTACATATTATTCAAGACCACAGGTTTATATTCTGGTTCCACCACTTACTCTTTGTGTTACTTAGAAAGTAACTTCTCTGTGACTCAGTTTCCTAATCTGCAAAATGAAGATAATAATGGTACCTAGCTAAGGTTTTTGTGATGCATTAAATGAGTCAACACAAGTATACTGACTTATGTTCTGACACATAGATAAACACAGAAAGGACTCTACATGATGACCAGTTATTTTTATTATACTTATATATAAATTATTAAATATATACATAATTTATTATGCTATATTCAAAATCATAATATAAATGCATGAATATAGTTCATTATTATGTGTACATATATAAATAGTATGTTATAAATTATTATATTGATATTTATCCTCTTTATTATTGCCCAATATCCAGCAAGGGCAATCTCTTTACTAGTATCTCTTTAATACAAAGAGATACCATAAAGTACTGCTATTACTTTTGGATCACCCCATTAAGCTCAGATAACATTTTTTGGTGAACAATATCTTCCAACTGTAGTATTAATTAACAAGTTTATGCCCCTGGTTTAAATTCAGCTGTGTATTGTTTTCCACCAACAATATGCCATTTCCCCCAAAAAATTCACTGAAAGAACTTTTTCAACACATTTTTGGGGAAGGATTAAAACACGTAAAATATAGCCATTCATGAATAAAGTCAAACATAGTGGATTTGTGGTAGACATAGACATATAATGTGGTGAGGTACTCTAAATGGGAGAGACTGACAGAATAGAAGCAAAATGAATATTGGTTGAATGAACACATACAATACAGGATGCATTCAGTATACAATTTCTTTAGACACATTTTTAAGAGAGGCGAAAGGTTTCAGTTTTATTGCACCTAGGTGATTTAAGCAGTGATCTAATGCATAGCCACGATGCCTGTTTTCTGTTCAGGATCTGCGGGACCGCCTGTGGGACATTTGTGACGCCCGGAAGGAAGAGGCAGAGCAGGAGCGTCTTGACATCATTAACCAGAGCTGGTTACAGGACTCTGTCGGAATAACAGTGAACCATTTCTTTTCCTTGATGCAGGTAAGAGCAGCTGGTCACAATGACACAGGTGCTCCCCTTCACAGCCTCATCCCTCAGTCCCTCATATGACACTTTCTTGGGAATACGAGAGGTCTGTTCAGTGCTCAGTTTGGTCATAGCGCTTTGCCTAGTATGAGCTCCAACTCACCAAGAAAGCTAGCTGAAATAACACATTTTGGTCTGGGCCAAATATGCACCCAGATTGGAAACATCCCAAGCAACTACCCACCAGCTTTGCTCCAGGTGGCCTAGATATGTAGAAAGCCACAGTAGAAATAGTGTCTACAATTGAATTCTTTACCTCACCAAACTCAAAGCAGACCCCTTAAGTGGTCAAAGAAAGCCCAGGAAAGCAGCCCAGCCACAACAAACATAGGCAAGATCTGACCAGGGAGATATCTGATTCCTCAAAATAAAAATTTTTCCAATACTGGACTAGAAAAACAGACCATAATCAGTGCAACCCGATTAACTTATATTTGCAGCGTATTAGATTTTTAAAAATTGCACAAGGCAAGATTGGAAGACAGGTGCTGATTTTATTCTGACACTATTGCCAGCAATAGGGGAGAAAGTACAAACCCAGCTCTACCAAGACAAAAGGCTAAAGAGTTTTTAAGAACTGGGGTAGGTTACAGGGTATGGATCATAGGCCAAATGTGTTTGCCAATTGATATTACTGGAAGGAAAAGTCAGCTTTCTACTGTCTTCGTCATGGGAGGTAGTTTTAGGACTTGGAGCAATGTACCTAGTGAAGTGAGGCTACTACTCTCACAGGGGAACTGGGAGATAGAAGCACTGTCTTTCTGGATTATTGATTACTTTACAGAGATGGTTTTTAGGTCCTTGAGAAAGACATTCTTTCCTGGGTTGTACCACTGGTAGGAGGCTTTTGAAAAGATTGACATCTCAAAGGAACAGTGAAAGGATTTACAGTTTCAAGTTTTCTTAAAGCAAATGCTCTAACAAAAGGGAGGTCAAGTCCTAGAGTCAGGAAGCAGCCAGTCTAACTTGAGTCAAGCTGAAAGGAATATTAAGGCTGCCTTTGTCCAGGCTGTGTGTACATGAGTATTTTTTCCTACGATAATAGAAGTAAAAATAGAGAATGGAAAAGTGTACATTTCTAGTCTTCAGTTGACTAACTTAAATAGATGCTATAGGAAATGAGAATCTGGCAATCCCTACAGCTAGTGGATAATAGGTTTCAGTAAATATTTTTTCATCAAAGGACCAATACATGCCAGTACTTCCAGACTTCAAAGGGACCATTCATGGCTTAGGCATAGGCCAGACCACAGAAGGTCTGAAATATCAGCAGAAACCTGAGAGGCAACAGCAGCCCCTCGGTGGGAGGTTTCAAGAAGTCAGGATACCAGGACAGTGAAGACCTTATGCAGCCATGTTAGGAATCTGGATGGGAAAGAGAAGATGGAATTAGAAAGATGTCATCTAAAGCAGAGGACAAAGCCAGGCCGTGACCAAGAGGACAGATCCACATGGCATGGGTTGTATGCAAAGATTGAAGTGAGGTGCCTACACAGCCTAGACCAGCCTGAATAGCATCCCTACGACATTGGTTTGGGTAAGCAAAAATCAAATATTACAAACAGTTGTATCAAAAGCTTATGGCAGAAATAGCTGAAAACCAATAATGAAGATGTAGAGAACGGATAATTTTTGTGAGTCATTCTTGATTCAGAGCAATACATACCTCCTTTGGAAATGGTATATGACTCTTATTTCAACAATCCCTAGATATAGAAGTTTTATCTTGAGAAACTGAACCAACATCTAAGATCAACAAGGAATAAAGAGGAAAAAGCAGCAAATAAAAGCTAACATTTATTAAGTTCTTACTATGTACATGCCAGGCACCATTCTAAAGATATTCATGTAGAATACATTGAAACTTCACAACAAGATTTCACTCTTGTCACCCAGGCTGGAGCACAATGGCACCATCTCAGCTCACTGCAACCTCCACCTCCCAGGTTCAAGCAATTCTCCTGGCTCAGCCTCCTAAATAGCTGGAATTACAGGCACCCACCACCATGCCTGGCTAATTTTTGTATTTTTAGCAAAGACAAGGTTTCGCCATGTTGGTCAGGCTGGTCTAGAACTCCTGACCTCAGGTGATACACCTGCCTTGGCCTCCCAAAGTACTGGGATTACAGGCGTGAATCACTGTACCCAACCCACTGTAAGTTCTATTATCTTCATTTTGCAAATGAGGAAATTGAGACAAACACAAGTGAAACAATTTGTCCATCTGACTTCAAAGCCAATACAGTAGCTCCCCCTTCTCCTTGGTTTGTTTTCCATAGTTTGTTACCCACAGTCTGAAAATATTTCATGGAAATTTTCAGAAATCAATAATTCATAAGTTTTAAATTATGCTCCATTCTGAGTAGTGTAATGAAGTCTCACACTGTTTCATTCTGTCTGGCTTAGAATGTGAATCATCCCTGTGTCTAGTGTATCCATGCTGTAGATGCTCTTGCCCATCTGTTAGTTACTTCGTAACCAATTTAGTTATCAGTTGAAAAAATCATAGGGCATATAATGTTTGGGACTATCTGAGGTTTCATGCATCCACTGGGGGTCTTGAAACTTATCCCCCATGGATAAGGGAGTGTCTACTTATTCCTAACCACTGCTTCCTTTTTCAAATACTTGTTTGCCACATAGAACAGAAGAGAGCCTTATTTTGCACTGATCAATAGGATCCTATAAAAACCAAGGGTGGAAATTACAAAAGAGGAGGTTTCAGTTCAATATTTACAGAATGAGCCTAATGAACAGCCCATCAAGTAACAAACTTTTGAGGCAATGAGCTTTTTGTCCAGGAGGCTCAAAAGCAGAAGTTTGCACATGGTTTTGGAGGACCAGTGGAAAGTACGCTAGAGAAAGTCTTCAAGAATCTATGGTATTGGGTAACAGCTAAAATAAATGTTTCCCAAAGTGGGTTCCATAGACATTAGTCCAACAAGATGTTTCACAAAACAACGACTCAGACTCTCTGATCAAATGACTTTGAGAAGTACACACACTGTATCCTTCTTCCCTCTCCCTGGGAGATTGACAAGTGTATCAACATATTTAGACATCAAGATGCCCTTCAGTAAGGAGATCCTTTGTCTATGTTAATCCATTATTTCTACACTATTTGACCTTGAAAAGTTGTTATTTGTTTCTTCTCCAACAGGGCACTCATTAACTCCCTATAGGACAGGTTTTCTACAAAATGTGTTTTACAAAATGCTATCCTAGATGTTTTCTGAAATTCCTTTTAAATCTAAGATTCTGTCACAATCAAATATTGTTTACTAGTTATCATAAATGTGAGAGGAATTTTGATTAATTCTGTCTTTATGAAAATCTTGGCTATAGTATGGCATCTTATTCAGATTTAGTTAATTAAATTATGCCAGCTAAAAATAAATTAATATTTTATATAAGATAATCACTATAATGAGGTAAGCCTAAGGCACAGATGACAGCACTGTCCCAAATACCAATTGTATACAATAAGCTTTACTAAACATAATAATTATTAGTTTAGTTCTCTAAGTTAAGGAGGAAATAATTTCCTAATTTCTAAATTTATTTACCAAATCATACAATACTATGGTTTAATGACTAATAATTTTATAACCTCAACACACTTTTTTAAAATTCTCCAAAGTTATTTGTCAATATTCAGTTTGTACAAATTGGGTTTATATTTGATCCTATTTACCATAAATGTGGCATTGTGCAAGTTCTCATAAGTACAATTTACAAGACTCATTTTTCTCCTCTGTTTTACCAAACCTAAACATGATAGATGCAAACACTTTTTGTCAAATTGTAGAATGTGTTCATACATGAATATTTTAAAACTTAATTTGATTGCTTTGCAAGGAATGAGAAAAAGTTTAGTTTTTCTGCTCGTTCCAAAGTGCTCATTTAAAAAACTACTTAAATATATATTTACTTTAAAAATCCAAGGATACTATTAAAAATGTTCTATAGGCTGGGCGAGGTGGCTCACACCTGTAATCCCAGCACTTTGGGAGGCCGAGGCAGGCAGATCACAAGGTCAAGAGTTCAAGACCAGACTGGCCAACATGATGAAACCTCATCTCTACTGGAAAAAAAAAAAATTAGTTGGTCATGGTAGCTCATGCCTGTAATCCCAGCTACTTGGTAGGCTGAGGTAGGAGAATTGCTTGAACCGGTACCCAGGAGGCAGAGGTTGCAGTGAGCCAAGATCACACCACTGCACTCCAGCCTGGGTTACAGAGTGAGACTCCAACTCAAAA